TGTTGAGTTGGTTCCAACTGTATAGGGTTTCCGAGGCCATAATCTTTGCAGGAGCAGAAAGCCTCATCCTCTTCCCGAGGAGTGACTGGTGGGCTCAAATCACCAACCTTGTTTGCAGTCCAGTGTTTATCCTACAGAGCCATGTCTTCTCCTGTTGTTGTTGTGAAGTGCCATCAAGTCGATTCCGACCCATAGCGACGCTGTAATGGGTTTCCGAGGAGCAACTGGTGAGCTTGAACCACCGACCTTGCAGTTCAAATGGCTTTGCAGTCTGGCACATTAACCCACAGTGCCACACCAGGACTCCTCAAATTATCTCACCAGAATAGTCTCCTTGCTTGGAACCACCAAGCTTGAAGACTGAGGGCCTTGCACTTGCTGTTTGTTCTTCTTTCATACACCCCAGTTGGTCACTCACTTAATTTCCTTATGCTGTTGTTGTTAAGTGCCATAGAGTCGATTCTGGCTCAAAGCAACCCAGTTTAGGGTTTCCAAGGAGCAGCTGGTGGGTTTGAACAGTCGATCTTTCAGTTTGCAGTCCAGCGCTCACTCTACAGAGCCACACCAGGACTTCAATTTCTTCATATGTCTTTTCAAATCTTATCTCTGAGAGGCCTTCTTTGAATGACCTATATGAAGTAGTATTCTTCATCATCATCATTCTCTAAAGTATTACTGCTTTTTTTTTTTTTTTAATTATTATGTTTTTGATGAAGGTTTATACAGCAGTTTAGGTTCCCATTCAACAAGTTCTACACAGTGTTTACTGACATTGGCTACATCCTTCATAATTCAAGAGCATTCGAAATCTTCTACTCTGGTTGTTCTGTTTCCATTAATCTAGTTTCCCTGCCCCCATTCTTTCTTATCTTTGTATTAAAGTGACCATTGACCATTTGGTCTCATATGGATTTTTTTAAATGGAGCACAATTTTCATGGGTGATATTCTTTATTTTATGAGCCAATCTGTTATTTAGCTAAAAGGAGACCTCAGGGTTGACTAATTCAAAGTTACAGTCTCGAAACCTCCTTGTGTTTTATTTTTGCTATTACACTTACCATTCCCCATCACATTATGCTTCTATTTGTTGATTAGCTCAGTGCCTATCAACCCTTATTGGGAATCAAATCTTCATAAGAGCAGGGACCTACCTGTTTTGTTCATTGATGATCTCCAGTGCCTAAAAGAATAAACAACCGACAGATGCTTAGTTTTTGAAGACATCATTTTAAATTTTAGATAAAAAAAATCCATCTTCCATCAGCATGTTGGTGTGATCCCAACTCTCATCATAAATGGAAATTTATGCTCCAAGATAAATGTGGGTGTAACTGTTATTACCATGAAAAAATTTTGACATGCCTTACTGTAAGTACCGTATTGACCATCAGTAATAAGCCTTGTGGAATTTTCTATCTCTACAGGATCTCATTATTAATGCTATTTCAAATTACTATTTAGGAAAATACGACTTCCTCTATGCATAACTGAGGAATGTTTAGATTTTCTTATCATGTTAGGTTGTAAAGAGGGCCAAATCAAACCAAATCCACTGCCATCCAGTTGATTCCAACACAGCAACCCTGTATAGGGTTTAGGAGGTTAGCGGACAGTCTCATCTTGCTCTTCAGGAGCAGCTGGTGGGTTTGAGCTGCTGATCTTGCAGCACTTATCCCATAGCACCATGAGTGTTATAATAATTTCCCAGTGGACAATTCTGTATGGATGATTGTGGAATCAATACAGATGATCAAGGCCTCATTGCTTGCTGCTTGACCTCAACCCAGTCATCACCATTCAAAGACTGTCTTTCTAACAGAGCAATAGAGATTATAATTGAGTCATTATTTTGGACTTGATCAAAGTAAGTTGAGCTTGATAGTGTGGTTGTTGTTGTTAAGTGTTAACTGTTGATTCTGACCCATAGCCACCCTGTATAGGGTTTCCAAGGAGCAGCTGGTGAGCTTGAACCACTGACCTTGCAGTTCAAATGGCTTTGCAGTCTGGTGCATTAACCCACAGAATGATTCCCATCATTTCAGACCTTCCTGTGTCTACACCTTTAATTGTTTTCCTTTCACATGACTCTGAACCAGGCAGTGTGATCAGCTTTGTCCAATGGGACAGGAACACAGTGATATAAGCAGAGACTTGAAAAAAGTGGTTAGTCTCTCCACTTCCTTTCTCTTGGACTCCCGCCTCTGGCAAGAGAGTATGGACAGGTTGCCCAGACAGAGGGATATGACAAACGCAGGGGAGAGCTGAGCCATCCTAGCTGAGGCCAAGCTAGACTAGCCACCCCCCAGGGAACCTTTCAAGGGGGCAGTAGATGGCTGAGTGAACCCAGCTGAGATGAACTGAGTCCAGCCCAAATCAGCAGCAGCATCCAAACAACCTATCTACCAAGAAGGAATAATAAATGGTGTTGTTTTATGCAATTAGGGGTTGGAGTAATTTATTTGCTGCAACAACTGATAAATGGTGCAAACAGAAAACAATCCCCACAACTTGTTCTGTGGATTATTTCTGGCATTTGGGTGAAATCCAAGTTGGGAATGAGCAGAGTGATTTCATGTTCATGTTCAAATAATAGAAGGGCACCATTTCAATACAGTAATTAAAATGTCCAGTCCTCTGTAATCATCAAAATGTCAAACTTGATTAAAGATAAGAGCTTTTCCTTTCTCCTGGATGACTATTGCTTTTGGACTTGAAGCCGAGGGTAAGGGAGGGGCCGAGGGAGAAAGTGGATGTGGTTGGATTCCCTCTCCCAGCTCTGCTCCTGCTTCATCTCCTCAGAGAAAGAGGTCGAGGGCAGAGATGGGGAGTCAGGAGGCAGGGGTTAGCCTCATGTCACACCAGAGCTCAGGTTCTTGTTGGCTTTTTAAACCTGACTCGCTTTGTCTAGGAGTCCTGGTGTAGTGCTGTGGGTTAATGTGCTGGACTGTTAGGTCGGTTTGAACCGCAAAGCTGGCTGTTCAAGCTTACCAGCTGCTCCTTGGAAACCTTATACAGGGTTACTATGAGTCGGAACTGATATTTAACAACAACGCTTTCTCTTGGAATCCTTTTGTGTGCTTCTTAGCCACACCCCCTCCAGGAACTGCCAATCCAATTCTCCCTAATGTGGGCAAGATCTTTTTTTAATTTAAAATATGTTTTTAAATATAACATATACAAACAAGTAATCAAATACAAGGTAGCTTCAAAGAGTTTTGAAAACTGCAATGAAAGGATAATGGAGTTTTCTCATAAGCTCTTTGAAGCCCACTTGTAGAATCATAAGCTTGGTACATTTTCACCAGGAGAACACATTGTGTGAGCCCAAACAAGACCAAGAATTAGGACACTACAGGATTCCAGAAGTATCTCCCTCTTCCTCCGAAATACCGGTTGCCATCCAGTTGATTCCCACTCATGGTGGCCCATTTTGTGCATCAATATAATTGTGCTCCATGGGAATTTCAATGGCTGATTTTTCAGAAAGATCAACAGGGCCTTTTTCCCAAGGTACTTCTGGGCAGACTTAAACCTCTAACATGTTAGTTAGCAACTAAGTACTTTAACAAACCATTTGCCCCACTCAGGGATTTCCTACTATAACCTCAAACACCACCATGGATAGACAATTAAAATGCTTTACTTTGATAAATTGGGTTGGGCTTCTCACAGACAGAATCCCAGAATGACTCTGCAAGCTCTTGGAAAATCATGTTATTCACAAACCTGCAAACAGAATTCACTGTCATTGCCTTTGTTCTTTAACTTAATCTATCAACTGTCTACTTGCATCTGAGCAAAGTACACCCAACATCAATCACCGAACAGTGAGCAGAAAAATTAGTATCTCTGAGTTGTTCTTTGATAATTAATAACTGTGCCCAGGAAGTTTAAGAAATGAGATGATATATCAAATGTACTAGTAATGGGCTTTGGAATATAACTTTTTCAAAGCCATGCCATCACCAGTTGAGGCAGAGTTGCACTGCTTCAAAGCAGACCTGTGCCTTAATGGCTGATTTTTTAGAAGTGGATTGCCAGGTCTTTCTTCCATGGGTAGAGTTAAACTTCTAACCTTTTGGTTATCAACTGAGCATACTATTTGCACCATACAGGGACTCCCTTTTTTAACCACAAAGACCACTAATTCCTAATGAATCTAGTGACACATAGTTTTTACATTTCTTTAAAATTTCTAAGATTTTAGGGAAATTGAATTCATTTCATATGTAATATATGTTGCATGAATTATCTTCTATTTCCATATATGCCAGCAATCGTGGTAAGCATGAATTTTTAAATTCCTTTTAAATATTTTAGTCAGAGAAAAATGGATCTGGTCTAACAGTGATCTATTTTTAGTTTCAACTTTTTTTTTTTTTTAGAATTTTGCTACAGGGAGAAATAAAAAGTGATTCAAAGCAGGCAGCATCACTAGTTGCAGACAATGTTGCATTCAAAATCCTACCGACTTTAAGAGAGTTGGCAAGGTGAGCCAAAGACGTTTAGTGGACCAGACTGTGCCTAATATTGGTATTGAGTTCTTTCTGGTCTTCACTGCTTGACAGGGTCTTTCTACTAATTCTATAAGGGGGCTTCAAAAAGTCTGTGGAAAACTTTTGTTATTTTGATGGAGGCACTACAGAGGGGAAGGAAATACTACCATTGGTATTTTACTGAGTGGCCCTGTTTGTCCAAGTTGAACCTTGTTCGAACCTTGCTCTCTTCCTCTGGAGACTTGTCCATCTCTTTAATCCTAGAGCAAGTTTTGTCTTTAAATTCCAAAGTAGAAATACTTGGAAAATTCCCAAAGAAAAGCAATGGAGGCAACAATCATTCTACACATCAGTTTATATGTTTGATCAAAACCAATTCTTTGACATACATCTAAACATAAAGTAGATGATTCTACATCTATTATGTATATAAAGTCTTCTCTCATATCAATGCAAAAGTGTTAGCATTTGATATATTTTTTAAGAGTAAAAATCTGTTTTCTCATGGCCTGTTTGAATCATCATCTTGCGTATTAGCATTGCTTTCCCTGAAATAAGTGTTTTCAGAGCTTTGGGGTACTTCTGACACATGGATCATGAATTTTTGTCCATCTCTGAGGGTTATGAGAGCTTCTTGTCCCATAGGGAGGCTGAGTCTCATGGTGCTTTCTGTTTCCTTGTCTTCCAGTAGTACCTGAATGAGCTATGAGGTGAACATTTTAGAAAGGAAAAGATAAAAAGACAAAGTTACACTACTTCCTGTTACAGGAACCACCAGTTCAATGATTCTACCAACCTCTCTCCCCCTACTTAGGAACTAACTGAGAAGACAGCTCATTGATTCCCCCTGCTGTTGTTGTTGGGTGACTCATTGATCCCATGAGACAAAGAAGAACTGCCCTATAGGGTTTTCTTGGTTGTACTCTTTAATGGAGTAGATGACTAGGTCGTTCCAAGAGGTCTTTCTCCTGTGGAATAGTTGGGTAGGTTCAAACCACCAACCTTTTTGGTTAGCAGTCTTGTGCTCAACTATTTGCACCACCAGGATTCCTTTTATTCCTATTACCAACAACAACAACCACAAACATTTGCTATGGAATCCATTTGGACTCATGGTGGCCCCATATGATACAGAGTAGAACTGTTCAATAGGGTTTTCTTTATGAAAGCAGAGCACCAGCTCTTTCTTCTTCAGAGACACTGGCAGTAGGGTTTGACCTGCCTATGTTTGGGTTAGTAGCTGATCACAAATTATTCACACCACCCATTTCTCAGGAAACACTCAAGAAGGCATGGTAAGGATTTCACGGGAGAACTCAATGGTAGCAGAAAGAGGGGAACATGGTGCTGGGGGCAGATGGACTTTCTAGAGGAAAAGGAAAGGGAGCCTGGGGTTGTTTGTGAGAAGCACCCTCAAATACTGTGAAAGCAATCCCAAACTCTTCCTTTACAGACAGAGAGAGAAAGGTTAAAAGTCCAAAGGAAGCTTGTGTAAGGTAGCATAGTCACCACATGGTTCCAGGACCCACCTTCCAGATGAATACCAGTCCCCTGCATTTCCCACCCATCTCTGGAGCAGACACAGTCAGCTCAGGTTCCAACTCCCCCTCCACTGTAAGCCCCAATTGCTCTATAGTAACTAATTTTTAAGAAAGGATCAGGCTGAAGTGGAACATTTTTAGCATCAACAACTCCCTGGATGCAGAAACACCCTTCTCCCCTTAACTCTGGCTAAACTTGGCTTCTGTAAAAATGCTTATACAAATTCCTTGCATTTGAGTGGGCCCGCCTAACTCACAGGATGCTGTGGCCAGCCAGCCAAGGCTAACCTTGAGAACAGCAGGCCAAAGTTAATCATAAGAAGTAACTGTCCCAGCAGATGTACTCCTAGCCCCCACCCTAACAGCTCATGCCTACATCATACTCTTGGTTTGTACAAAATAATGTCAGACTGCCTATGTATAAATACTCTTTGAAAAACTGGGTCGGGGCTGCAGTTTTTCCCACTCTTAGGGAGGCTGTAGTCGCTGGCCAGCTAATAAAGGCTTACTTGCTGATCCTGAGAGTTGTGAGTGGTCATCTGGGTAAATTGAGACACAACACCACCAAATACAACGATCACTGTGAAAACAGTCCATTGATATGGGTTGAAATGACACTCCATTTAGTAACAACAGAGTTACGAGATTCACAGGTTATTATGTTTCAGTGACAGCTCTTTGGATTTGTCTGAGCAAATCTTCCCACCATAGAAACAGAGAAGCCATGCTACCTTTCCCTTAGCTCCACAGGTGCTTAAAAAGACTGGAAAGACATGGCTGCTTTATATTCCATACAAATGGATTTTCTTGGTCTGATTTAATCAGTCAAGCAGAAACCTTTGCCATTGAGTTGACTCATGGTGACCCCATTTGTTATAGAGTACAAATGCTCCCTAGGATTTTCTTAGCTGTGATCTTTAGGGAATTTCCTTCATGGTACAGCTGGGTAGGTTCAAACCACCAAGGTTTTAGGTTAGTTGTTGTTAAGTGCCATGGAGTTGATTCTGACTCACAGTTACTTCGTATAGAGTTTCCGAGGCTGTAAATCTTTGTGGAAGCAGAAAGCCTCATCTTTCTCCTAAGGAGCAGCTGGTGGGCTTGAACTGCTGACCTTGTGGTATGCAGGCCAGTGCTTATCTTACAGAGTCACTGTGTTTCCTTTTATGGGTTAGTTATTGTTTGTTGTTAAGTGCCATTGAGTCGGTTCTGATCCGTAACGACCGTGTATAGGGTTTCCGAGGAGCAGCTGGTGAGCTTAAACCACCGAGCTTGAAGTTCAAACAGCTTTGCAGTCTGGCGCATTAACCCACAGCGCCACACCATGAGTGCAAATCCATTGTGTCACCCAGGGACTTCAGTTCCTCCATGACCTAATACAGTCTCTAATGCGGTTAATGCACACTCTCTCTACCTTCAACAATGATCACCACTCAATGAAAAGAGTGTTTTTGCTTTCTCTCTCAAAAACAGTCTTTACCGTTACCCTGCAGCTGAAGAATCACTTATTTGTAATTTTGTTGGGCTTTAGCACATGACCTAAAGGAGAAACCATGAACATAGTATGTTTTTAAAAAGAGTATTCTTTCTTTAATTTCAGTCTCCTCTTCACGCTTTTCTTAAACATGCCTTGGCATTTTCCAATCTTGAACACTGAGAACAAAGACAGCGACAGATGGATGTGCAATCTGGAACACTGACTTCAGTTGTTGCTGGAGTTGCAGTTGTTCAGAGAATGTAGCTGCCACAGATGTGCCACCGAACAGGGAGTTAAACTCGAGGCAGATACATGCAGATAGGGCACCGAGGGGGTGCTTTTTTGTTGATGATGTGTGCAAGTGCTGAAGAATGAATGTAATGAAAACTAGACAAGCATGACTTTCTGGTGCTGGAGTGTTTAAGTCGTTAAAAGCGAATTCAGCAGGCCTGAATGAATAGAGGCAGGTTTAATTATTCTCGGATGCATATTACCTTGGATTATGGGACAATCTGCTTGTATTGCTTTATCATGTTGCTCAATTAAGTATATAATATCATCTCTATTGTTTCCACCAGTTAAATATAGGTCAACCTCTGTGCCAGTTTGACCTGTATTTCTGAGGGGGCTTGGGTAGAGAGTGTTATGGGAAAAGGGATCAGGATTTGCTGAAATCATAATAATGAGCAGTCGTTAGTAGGGGCTTACTCTGTTCTTATAAAA